CATGGATACCGGAGTCAGGAGTAGGCATGGCAAAAGCCACGTCATGGTCATAGTAGACCGATTTTGCCTTCAAAGGCAAGGACAAATTTAGTTATAGAGAAGTTTTTCAACTTCTGGGTAAGTGAGCATGGCATACCGTTGTCAATAGTTAGTGATTGAGACACGCGTTTTACCAGCCAGAACTCTCAGGATCTTATGAAAGTTTACGACTCTAAGTTGTTAATGTCGTCAGGTCGTCACCCAAAGACAAACGGCCAAACAAAACAGATGAATAAGATCTTGCAACAATTACTAAAAATGTATATTAGACCAGACCAAGTAAATTGGGATGAGATGCTTCCCAAGGTAGCTAGCGCTTAAAACAACAGTGTACATCTAGCTACCTGTCAGACTCCTAAGGCCGTTTGAGGGACTCGACCGACATCAGATTCAGAGATTACCTCCCGGTACGAGAGAGTTTGCCCTGCAACATGAGAAGGAAGTCGCTAGGGTGGTCGAAAACCTTAGAAAGGCCCAGCTTCGCATGATTGAGCAAGCAAATAAGCATCGGCGACATTTCGAGTTCCAGGTAGGTGACCTAGTGTGGGTCAAGTCCAAGGAATTTGCACCAGAGAAAACATCTCACAGAAGCTCTTGCCCGCGTACAGAGGGTTGTTGCCTGTCCTAGAAGTCAAAGGAGGAGAGGACGGGCCATCATACACCATAGAGTTACCACCGCACCTCCATATGTATGGGGCTTTCCATGCATTAAAGTTGTTGCTTTATGTCACCAGTCAACAGTTTCCATCACGACGATCGATGATTCTGCCTGATATGGATGGCACATATGACATAGACCGAATACTAGAAGAAGACGTGTTCAGACCTGGAGGTCGAGGTCGTTCCCAGAAGCAAGTTAGGTTCGCCTACCAGGAACCTGAGGACGACAGGTGGTTCGCACGAACTGAATTGCTAGAGACCGCTCCCGACATGATTCATGCTTATGAAAGAACCAAGAAGGGTAAATGTCCTGCCTTGGATTAGACGATTCTCGAAGGACCTTGAACTTAGGACGGCGGGAGTGAAAGGGTCTTCACCCAATTTGTGCGGCAAGTGCAGATCACAGGGCTCGATCCCTAGACATATCCCATACCCTTGTACAATTACCCGATGCCCTATGTGCCTTCAACCCGCGACCTGTCTCTTAATATGTATGTCTGTGTGTTGTGCACTTAGTTAGGGTTGTGTGGACTTGAACCATAGACTATAGGATTAGTAGTCCTAAGGGTCTGCCCAGCCCTAAGCCCAAGATCTTCCAGAAGTCAGTAGGTTAGCTGAGTCAACGAGGGGGAGGTTAGCCGTATAGTGAAGGGTCAGTCATTCGTAGCCTAGGAGGTTCTAGAATCGTCAACTTGACCTTTCGAGGCTGTAGAAGTCAGTCGTCTGTAGGTGAGTCAGCGAAGCACAGTCCAGTCCCAGTCGCAGTCCCACTCAACCTTGTTTAGTCAGCAAGTACCAGGTGGGGCTGCACATTCCTTGGGCCCGGGACAGAAGGCAGGCCAGACCACGACGAAACGGTATAAATAAAGACGCATCACCCAGCTATTGATTCATTCGCCTGTGAGCCATGCGGAAGTGCTGCTAGTGCGACTTGTGCGTTGGAGGTATGCAGGTGCCCGACGAAGAAGAGGGCAGCGGCCATAGCCGCCAGGTTGCTAACGTCAACAGATAGGACGTAGCGTGTGTGTATGCGTGTGCGTGGACATTCAGGGTAGATCCCAGCGTGTGTGTATTTCCGGAGTGAGTCTGATGGTGGACACAGTGTACGGGTGGGAATAAAGACTGGCGTTCGGACACCATAGCCGCAAGCTGTGACAAGTTGACTTATACTGAGTTTCTGGCCAAGGGCCATATATCTGTGTTTTCTGTGTAGGCACTGTGCCCCATCGCACGCTTGTTGCTGATTTGCCGTGTGAAAATTCGTCAGCCATCGGCATCTATATGTATGCATGTTGAAAGTGATGTTGAAGATGAGTCTGATTACAAACCCGCCGGCGTGTCTCTCTCCACTGCAGGTCGCTGGCGAGAAGTCCAGCTACGGCGCCCAGGTAAGTACTCGACCGCTGCAGGTATGGTCACCGCCTCTCTCCCTACCTACACCTGTACCTCTACCACAGCGCTGTAGACCGCAGCGCCAGCAGAGTGTCGACCAAGAACTGAGCTCATCGAACTGTATCTGCCCAGGAGCTGGCCCAGCTATAAATAGTGCTGGCCTGGGTGCTGTGCCCACTACCTGTGATCTGGGCCGCGAGATGGTCGGGCCGATCCACGGTCCAGATCGCAGGAAAAAGTCTTGCTGCTGGGCCTGCCTGGGTCCCTACCGGACGTCCAGGCCCTCCCAGCTGATACAGCAGGGAATGTCCGCTACTGGACAAAACCGAACATGGCCCGAAAGGGCCTGGCCACGAATGCAGAAGGCCCAAAATGTGGCCTTTGTCTGAACAAACCGTAAGTCTGTTCGGAAGAACTGCAAGTCCGAAACGACGCCTGAAACAGACAAAAATAGAACAACAAATAAATAAATAAATACTAGATGACCTGTTGTGAAACAGTTTTCACCTTTGGCAGTAGCCGATGCAGATCCCAGGGGTCGATCCCTTGACCTCAGCTTACCTGTGTACAGTATCTGCACAGTTCCCTGGAGTTGAACCCGTGACCTGCACGATAGCCAGTGGTAAGTAGGTCGCCGT